CTTCGGCCATGGAGGTCTGCCAGGAATTGGGAGGCTGAACGAACTGAGGCATGAGAGTTGTCTTTGAGGAATTTTAGTTTTGAATACATCCAATTCGCCAAATTATAAGTGGGGCTGCCTTTTAGGGCAACGATTGGCCGCAATGGAACGTTCGGTTTATGCACCTTTGGCAGGCCATAGAAGCGAGCCAGGGCAGTATCTGTTGCTTTCATTAGGCGCTGATCGTTCTCAGTGATCACATTTTGGCGTTTTAATTCGCCAAGTAATTTATTCAACCGATTTGCTACTGTCTTTGCTTCTGAGTTGTTTGCTGGTCTGTAGAAATCTCTGTCATCAAGTAGACTTTTAGCTTTCTCATTGTAGTCTTCACGGTTCATTACGACGGTTGATCGTCCCTTATCCGCTGGCAGAATGATTATATGATAATCCGTTCGTAGTTCTTTAATAGCTTGTGACTCGCTCTTCGAAACACACTTGGCTGGACGGTGTGTCATCAGCAAGGAGGTGACGCGTGACGGTGATCGCAACGCCTTCTGCTTCTCTATCTACATCTGGGATGCGAACATTTGCCTCAACTTTTAATGTTGTCAGATATGCCATTCTACAGAAGACAGTGACGTCCTTTTGTCTCTCCTACCTTTGACGGTCTGCATAGGCTCACTTTCGTAGTTTTCTTTCGCTTTCTTAATAATCTTACCGGCATTCATTTAGCTCTCTGTTGTCGCTCTGTTATCAGTGAAGTGACGACTTCAGCCTTGAATGTTCAGCGTACAGACGAGTGAAATTGTTTGGCTTCCGGTCTGCTTGAACCAGCGTGCAGTGTCTCTGGACTATTCAAACACTTTTTAAGAAGTTGTTACATATCTTTACGTCAGATCTGCTAAGTGGTTTTGTCCTGCCACACATCTACCTCCAAAGTTGCTCGGGCTTCTGTGTATTGCGCAATAATTCATTAATGCTTCAACATGCACCATCGACTTCAGTCTGCATCATTCGTCAGACGCAAGCCAAAAGATGCAATATCGTAACTGAGGAGTGCGTGCAAATAGTGAGCATCACTGGCAACCCACCTAGTGCAATTGGGTTGATTTGACTAGCTGAATAAGGGTATAGTGCTTTTTCTCATCTTTATTTCATAGGAAGTTCTTCCGAAATTTCCGGCACTGTCCATCCTGTGACACCGCTTAATCATTTTTTCTTGGAGTCACCTTGAAACAAACGAGTCATGTTTCTTAAACATTCAAACTGTTGTGGGTGTGTGATAGGTAATGCAGTGCATGTGGCATTCAGAAGATAATTACTGTGAAAGACCTGGAGCAGCACCAGAGGCCCAAACTAATCTGACAGTCACCTCTCATCTAGGGTTCCCAGATGGTGGACTGAATGCAACGCCGAGACTCTTGCGAGTGGTTAAACTGGCGTTCTGACCCCAGTCGGAGTCCACAGGAGTGCCTCCATTTGTGTTGTTCGTGCATTCTGATTTGATAGCTAAGAGCTAATCAAACCTATTTTGGCATGCACTGCCACAGACTAAATGCCAGGTCACGAACCATGGCCAATTACACCCCCAGTAGTCTTCATATATTCTGTTCCTGTGAAAATAGAATAAAAAAGGCAAAACAATAGAAGAAAATTGGGGTCAATCTTGCTCAAGGTTACCCTATAATTCCTTCCATTCGTGCCGCCACTGATTCCCCCGAGATGGTGGTGGTTACTGTCATATCAGGCGGACGAACCATTTGACTTCATCCGGATACGGTCAGGAATGAAAATCGTCTGTTTCTATCGTATCGTTTTACAGACAATCCAGAACAGAACATTCCAAAAAGTGCAACCTTCAGCCTCCTATTTCCTTCTGATCCCTCAAATTCTGACATGTCTAGCCTTGGTGACGGCAAAGATTCGGAGGAGGCCGCCCTCATCGAGTCGTTCCCAGTCCTCTTCCAGAGTCTGGAGTACAGGTAAAATCTAGATGTGATTTGTATTGATGCATTCTTATACTCTGCTCATCTAATTGTATTATTAGTGGTTCACATCGCAATTACCAACTGTAATCATTGCGCTGCATCCGGTGTTCTCTCTCTCTCCTCTAAGTTTTCTTTGAGAAGGACTCAGCTACACCTTCCATGGAGCTTGCCACTGAACTTATGATTTCTTAAATACCTTACTTACTATACTTATCATTCCCAATGAGGTAGTTGGTTACAAGGGATGATTATTCTCCCGAGCGATAAGAAGTTCACTCTACGTGAATCGTTCCGATTTTTATACCGCGACAATGCCTTTGACAGGTCACCATTGTCAACCATCAGCCGTTCTTTATTTTGGTCCATCATAAGCATAGTACTGGTGACAGTTCCTCAAACGGTGACCAAGCGCATGAGCATCATCCTGTCACCTTACTTTGGGTTTGATGTTGACAATAAAACTTTAGGTCACCAGAGAGTGTGCTACGTGCACCTTGACAATACAATAGGGTTATGAAATTGTAATCGAATGGACCCCAAAATGTGCAAAAGACTCTCTGTACCACAAAAGAGTGGCGTATGGAGACCATTGCTGGAAATTTGATTACTTTTCGATGCTGGTCCAATCAGCTACACTTTCTTTTTCAATTACTATATCAATTATTTTACTCTATGACATCCATGCTATGTCCCGGTTGATGCCTGACAGGGTACGGAAGACGACTTCCAGGCACAACCCTTCAATTCTGTCACTTTTCATAATAAGGTTTTGAACGACCTGCAAGTTGCCTTTGTTATCAGACTCCTAGCAGCTCTGAATGTCCTGCCATATTGATCGTGGACTGACTCTTTCGTGCTAAACAGTCCCTCGGGGAAAAACCCCGAATGTTTGGACTCCACGCTAGCTAACTACACACATCCATTTCTCAGTCAGTTTGATCGGATGTGCGCCCGTTGAAGCGCTGCTTTGCGCTCGAGGCCATCACTCCATTCTACTTCCCTATTCCATAAATAATCGATCTCTGCGAGCATAATCACTCAACTGTTTGATATCCTACCACTTTGTGTACCTCACTAAATATTCAGTCATTTTTTATCCAAGAACAGAAGGTTAAAAGTCTTGTTACAAGCAAGACACGTTTCAAACATGTGCAAAGTAGACTGGAATGGTCATTTTCCTCGACGTTGCCAGCCTTACCCAGCAAAATCTTAGCCCTTTGCCTCGGGAACCTCAGGTTTGAATCAGGATTTTTGGACCACCAACCTTGGTGTCAAATGCATCAGCAACTAAACAATAGATTCACGTCCACCTTGCTGCCGCCAGGATTGGTCACTGACATACGCCACCAATGTGTAAATATTGCAGAACAATATGTACGAGTACCTATGGCTTTGTAATATAACGAATAGAAATATAAGAAGCGTTAATAAATCCTTTTAAGAACATGTTTCTAAATCTATCGTCTTTCCCGTGGATCAGTGTGCCAACGCTAAAAGTCAATTGGATATAAGAAATCCAAATATATAGGTATACGACCATGTCATGTGGTTCAGTGTCACCTTTGAAGATAGGCAATTTGGGTTGTAAATAGAGTTATTAGCCCGACGGAGAATGTTTACCATTGCGTAACGTGAGCCGTCATATATGGTAGCATATCCAGCAGTTAGGATAACCTTATTTTCGGTCTAAACAACAAAGGCGCCTAGTCTACAAACATGCTTCTCACATAGATAATAATATCTCAAGTGCTGTTGAACTTCAAAAATGCGGTAAACAATCTGTTTTTGAAGGGATGCTTTCTAACCCTTTACACATTTTAGCCAATT